TGGCAAGTTTTTGTTAGTACGAGCCAATGAGGTGGTCTCGATTTCGCCGAACTAACCCTACGTGTATTATTAAGAAATCACTCAAGATCATGAGAGATTTAAATTCGAATTGTTCAAAATATTCATTAGGTTCATTAGGTTCCCGTGCACGCGTGTAAAAAAGGGTAATTCTATTCACACCCCCAAATTGCTATTCACGGCCATGTAGCTAAATCAATCAATCAATCAATCAATATATATAAAAGAGGAACTTTTTAAGAGCATATAAAGCGGCACATAATCCTGCCATGTCATTATATATATTAATTATTTAGTTATTTTTATACATTCTATTTTTATTAGCTAGATTCTATTTTGATTACATATTGATATGGAAACAAAAATCCGTAGAAATCCACCTTAATTAAGTTGGTAACTTTTTCAAAAACCATTACGTATTTGATAAGTATTAAATTATGTAATTGGAACCACAACACTTAATAACCAAATTTTAAGCACGGACTCACAGAGTAACAATCATTTAATTATTTTTATACTTGTTTATGTTTTATTACATTCTATTAAAGAGATGAAGTATTTGTTTTTTGCTCACTTAATAGAGAAATCAGCCAAATTGCTATTAATTTTGTCTGTAAAGTAATTTGATAAAAATAAAAAATGTAACAATAGTGTCCCATTTCCTAAAATGTAATATTTAATTTTTTTAAACTCAATCTTGAGATAATGATTAAAATTCTTTTTTCGAAAGATATAATTATTAAAATTCTATGCCCCGGATTTACAATTGTGTTAATACTTCGCATTTTGCTCCATCTTCATACAATGCTTTCTTAATTATTAAAATAATGATAAAAATTATAACCACCATATAATTGAAATTAAAAACGAAATTAAAACTATCAGATATTCTAATATATAGAATCTTAATAAGAATAATTCTGATCAAGTAGCTTACTTTATTTAACAAGGATGAAAATTGATATCATACATAAATACATACATGTATGTATATTTTCACAAGTAAATACGTTTAGGCCTAGCCAAAAAGTAAATATGTTTGGTTATTTCTTTATTTTACAACTACAATTTAAATGTGCTTTCACTTTTGAAATACATTCCTAATCTAAATTAGAAAATCTTTATATGTTTACAAATTCCTACTCTTATTTTAATAGATTTTTTTTAATTGGATTGATTTCAGTTCCTGATTAAATCAGATCAAATCGAACTTTAATAATAATAATAACAATAACAATAATAATAATAATAATAAGTCACATAAAATGTAAAACAAACATCTACCAGACCGTATTAATTCATACCAAATCAAACCCAAAATTTTAATTCAATTAAAAAGGTCCTTATTAATTAGTAAAATCTAAGATCTCACAATTAAAATTTTAAAATGTGTATTTCATACCAAGTTAAATGAGAAATACTAGAAAAGTTTTATTTTGAAATGACCAATAAAGTAGTTTAGATGTTCATAACAATTAAAAATTGTTTTCAATGTAACGAAATAATGAGTAAAATGTTTAAAAAAACTCCATTTTTTTACATTTACGGTGTGATGAAATAATGAGTAAAATGTAACATCTTATTATTAAAATTAAAAGTATGTGCTCAATATTTCACATCAAGTTGAATGAGGAATACTAGAAGAAAAAACTTGAGATGCGTAATAAAATAATTTAGAGGGCATGAGATTATGAATTCTTTAAAATCAGGTTCATAACAATTATATTTACTTGAGATGCTGATGTAGAAGATCAATGTAACTATTTTTCATATAATATTTTATTGGCTTCACAAATGGAATATATTTTACATTTTTTTCATGATTCAGGAGATTCCACCATTCATCCCATTCAGCCAGAATTTAATCAATTTCAGTAAAATAAGTTAATTCGATTTATTTTAGTATTATCAAATAGGCTCTATATTAGACTAAGTTTATTTTTCTTTTAAAAAACATTACATATGATCCGAAAGAAATCAAATTTCAAATTAGCTAAATTACATACTGCTCGTGCATCGCGCGAGCTTGAAAGCTAGTAAAATCAGGTTCATAACAATTATATTTACTTGAGATGCTTATGTAGAAGATCAATGTAACTATTTTTCATATAATATTTTCTTGGCTTCACAAATGGAATATATTTTACATTTTTTTTCATGATTCAGGAGATTTCACCCATTTAGCCAGAATTTAATCAATTTCAGTAAAATAAGTTAATTCGATTTATTTTAGTATTGTCAAACAGGCTCTATATTAGACTAAGTTTATTTTTCATTTAAAAAACATTACATATGATCCGAAAGAAATCAAATTTCAAATTAGCTAAATTACATACTGCCCGTGCATCGTGCGGGCTTGAAAGCTAGTAAAAATAATTAAAATGTCTCAATTACCATTATTGTTTTTTTTAATGAAGGGGACTTATATTAGAATAAAAGCATTCAACAAGGATCTAAAATAACAAAAGTACCACCGATAACCATCCGCCTTTGGGCCAGACTCAGAATTAACCACCTTCAAGGAAGCAGTATAATTCGTTGATCCTAAACTGAGCATAATCGAGCCAACAATGGTTACTGCAGCACTCTCATCACCTGAGTCTAATGCAAGAGTCTTACAGAAGTAAACAAAACAACAAACAAAAACAACAGTCTGAACGTCAAACGAAACATAACAAGCAATAATAAAATAAGCACCACCGTGGAACTTCTGCACCTGCAACTTTACGAACATATCAGGCGGGCCTAGCAGCTGAAGCCCGCCTCCTCCCCGTTTTTTGTGTTGTCTAGTGCCATCTCCTCTTCTGAGTTGTTTTCTTCTGCCGGATCCTTCCAGACTCTCTTGCGCTTCTGATCAACCGCGACCTCCCCTGCACCGCTTCTACCCTCTTCCTTTGTGCCACTACTTTCTGTCTCAGCTTTACTCCCCTTGCGTCCCTGTCTCATAGTTTCTTCGTCATCTCGCTGATCCCTCCTGTGATGATTCGGACCTCCCTGTTTATCCACCAACCACTTACCACCCCTTGTGGGGCTAATTTTCCCCCACCACCTGCTCTGAGATCAGCACTAAAGTTTTTTCCAAAACAAGATCCTCCACATATTTTAATGGGCAAATTTTCTCAGAGTGTCCCACAATCCCACAAATAAAAACAGAAACTTGGTAACTTTTCATATTTAAAATCAACCCAGTGTCCTTCTCCTCCCTTAGTCAAAGTAGAACCCTTTTTAGGGGCCTCCTCACATCCATCTTTACCCTAACCCTCAAGTAAGAACTTCATTTTTCCTTAAAGTGACTCTCATCAAAGCAGATAAATTCCCCAATATAGTTACCCACCCTCCTAGCAGTATCAACATTCATAAACTTATACGGCACATTGCGCACTTGCACCCAGAACTTTGCTTCGAACAAGTCCATTTTATGTGGTATATCATTAGGGCCCACCGCCTTTAATAATAACAGATTTTGCTCAAACAGCCAAGGACCGTCTTCTATAACACGATTCATATAAATTTTATGATTAAAAGTAAATAGATATCTCTTTTCATCAATTTCTTGAACCGTCATTCCTCTTCCTGGTCTCGAGAGCGGTACAAACAGGTCCTGTACTGCCTGAAATCTGACTTTCCGGTCGGTTTTGATGACTCCCACCACCGGAAACTCCGCCGCCTTTGTGTTTGGAATGGTAACCTCTTCCTCCTCATCATCAAAATTCAGCCTACTATTTTCTTTCTCCAAAGCCAGTCTTCTATACTGCTCTACCACAAGTACCCCTTCACAAGTACCCCTTCACAAGTACCCCTACTCGCCCCAAAATTCGAAGCCGCAGCAGTCAAACCAACCGCCCTCCCCTGCACTTCGATGTCTGCCGATAGAAACAAAAACCAAAACCACCTTCTCGTCCCACCTTCGTTTTGCTAAAATCCGAAGCAAAAATTGAAAACGAGAAGGGAAATCCGCACTACACTAGGCGGCGGCTAAACCACCGAACCCTAGAGAGAATCTCCTAATCATGTTCCTGTAACAATTAATATTAATTACCATTATTGTTATGAAATGTAGTGTGCACCGGTCCAAAACCGGACCGGACCGGAACCGGTTTGGACCGGAACCGGAATCTTATTTTTATAAGGACCGGAGACCGGATCTAATACTAACCGGTCCAGACCGACCCGGACCTGAATTTTCCGGTCCGGTCCGGTTTTAACCCTGTTTGACCCGGTTTTTAAAAAAGGTATATGATCTTAGACTGTTGGTCTAGACTATAATTTGATGTGCAAATATGCTATATGGACTAAATAAGTGTTTCATTCATTTATCAATTTTGGGAAGTAATCTCATGTGCAAATATGCTAAATAGAATACAATAGACTAAATACAAATTAAACTACATCCATAATTAATAAGGCACACCTGCAGTCTACAAACAAGATGTATAAACTACATATAGAGACCTTAGTGCACACACCTTGCTTTTAATTTGCTTGTATAAACCACATCCAGACACTCCCACTTAGGAAAAATCAAACAAATATCAAACCACACATCCACAGTGAAACAAATTTAAAGCAGCCTGGTAAATAATTCGATACTAAATGACTTTCTATTGCATGTAAAACAAACTGGATTGTTGTTTCAAATCATAGCAAAAGTATTTATGAAAAAACAAAACTTAGTGCACCAACTCTCTTATTTACTGTGTATGTAATTAACCAATGACACTGACCGAACTCAACGAAACACATATTTTTCGAAGCAAAAACTTAACGGGCCACCGGTCCGGACCGGTTTATTCCGGTTTTGACCCGGCCCGGACCGGAAATCCGGAATCGTAAAATTCTAAGTACCGATATCCGGACCTGTTTATACCGGTCCAGACCAAACCGGTCCATTCCGGTCTGGTTCAGGTCTAAAATACGGTCCGACCCGGTTAATGCACACCCCTAGTTATAAATAATAAATAAATAAGTCCGAAGTGCGAATTGGGGTTCAGATACCGGCCCATGGATGTGAGCCCATCACGGAATTTTACCCTAGACCAGACTAGATTTTGTTTCTTGGAATGAATTTTGTTTGTTTATTTCTTAGTTCCGTTCACAACGCAGCTAGCCTCCTCATCCTCCTTCTACTGCACACACAAGTCAAGAGCGCATTATCGATCTCTCCTCAGACGTCCAGACCGCACTATCGGCCTCAACTTCGTTATTAAGTATCAAGGTCTGTATTCAACTGTTCATAGTGTTTGGGTTTATGTAATGTTTTCTTCCTCACTGAATTGAATATGCCGCGGGCTAACCCGTAGTATTCAAGCCTCTGTTTTTCACACGTTTCAATGGATTTTTGCGCTGTACAAGTGTTAAATGAATATGCTCGTCGGATATCGATTGTTGTAAAATCTGTTTCACATCCTCATCTTCTTCCCGATGGTAATGTTTGAATCCTATTTTAACCCTTCATATGGGTCTCCAGTTTTCCATTTTGGGAACTCCAAATATCGTTCGTTCAATCTGAGTTCATTAGTGCTCCTATGCAGTGGCTTTTCTCTTTGCCTGCCTTTCATCTTCTTATGTTTATATTATTCTTATTCTTCTTCTTCTTATTATCTTTAGTATTATAATAATAATAATAATAATTGTCATTATCATCATCATTATTATTATTATATTAATAATCATAATTATCAATTGTAATTATAATTATGAACTATACTCCCTTCTTTTTTCTTCCCACCTTGATTTGGCACACTTGTTAGAAAAGTGGAAGACTATGTTTGGTATAAAAACGATTCTGAACAGCTGCAATCTGATCCAAAACCATACCCGGCTGGAACTGCTTTCCATTGCGGTTCACCCATTTATAGAATTCGGAACCAACAGTTCTTGAGGATAAGTCTGGTCCATATCCATCCCTATGAAGAGCGTTTTAATTGGTGCTTTCTATTTGAATTACATTCCATTTAATCACACTTTCTTGTTCAAATGACATATCAAACAATGGAATCACTTTCTTATACCGAGCGGTCCTTCGACATACAACTCAGTTTCATTGCTTTGTCAACTTCCGACCCACACGACACTTATTGAATCTCCCTCTACTTTTATTTCTCAACGCATTGCATATACTATGAGCCCGTTTGGTAATGCCAAAATTGGCATATTCTGCTGAAATTTTGAAGTTCTGGCTGAAGTGGATGCATTGGCTTATTCTGCTTATTTATGAATAAAATATGTTTAAAATTTTTTATTAATAAAATATAGAAAAAATTCTATGAAAAAAATAGTGAAATGGTCCTCTACAGTAACTTTATTCAATGCAGCCATAACACTAACTCCGGCCTTACCTTTTCTTATTATTACACAATTCAGCGCGCAAAATCAAAATTTACGCGGTTGGTGTAAATACTGGCCGATAAACTTGATAAGCTAAAAAGAGGGTTACCAAACGGGCTCTATATCTCTCTCAAGTTGCCTCTTCACTTTCCAGTAGACCCCATCAGGTTTTGAAGTTTTCTATATTCAAGTGTTTTTTACTCAGAATTTAATTTGTGATTTCCCCCGTTTACTTTCATAACTTGGAGATATGATGAATGCCATACATGCTTATAGACATTTAGTTCTAATTAGAGATCTTAGAACATTTATATCCAGGTGAGTAATTTCAAGTTTTTAATGTGTCTTAGTTATATGTGGCGTGTTAATGTGTCATAGTTATGAATCATGTTATATAATGTTGACATATAAGAAATGCTATGGACAGTCTCTTCTCGAGAGGTGGTCCAAAAACTCTCCATTTTATTGTTGGAACATGTTGTGGACCTCATATTTAGTTGTTCAATCAACATTTTCCACCAATCTAGCATTCTAGTGGGAGCTTTTGAACGGTTCTCTTTAAGAGATGGTTCATAGCACTCATCTTTGACAAATATCACTTTTCTTGTTTGGAAGCTCAGTGTATTGATTGATGATCCTCCTGGTGTGGAATTTCAAAGAAACTATACAATCTACAAAAGTATGTGTTTATGTTTTGTATCTTTGGTCATACATAATTCTGAATATTGAGATGTTTGTATTGGATTTATGGTGGTTTCTTGCTTCATGAATCATCTTTTGTTGTTTTTAAGATCTAGTAATGCTAGAATAGAATAAGGTTTGTATATACTGCGATCGATTATGCAGAATGGATTTCTTCAGTAAATCTGGGAACATGCTGAGGCAGGGTATTATGCAGATTGGCTTTCTTTTGTTTATGAATCATTTGTATAATCATCTCTTGACTATGCAGAATGGCTTTCTTCAGTAAATCTGGGAACATACTGAGGCAGGTGATTAGCAAGCCGCAAATAAACCATGAGATCTCAGCATCCAGTCCTTCAGTTTTTCAGATCCTGCGATTTATGTCTTCTTCAAAACTCTTTGTGGGAGGTATTATTTGCTATTCATTTACAGGAACAATTATGATTGTATTCATTATAATATCTGCTGATATTTATTTGATTTGGTATCATAGGTATATCATGGGGTACAAATGATTCAAGTCTTACAGATGCTTTCAGTAAATATGGAGATGTTGTTGAAGGTATAATATTTAGTGTCTTATTTTAAAATAATATGGTGTCCCTGTCAATGAGCATGCCATTTTAGTGTTTTATTTTAATATAATATGGTGTCCCTGTCAATGAGCATGCCATTTTGGTGTTCATTTGGCAATTGAAAAAACTAGACTTCAACCCATAAGTCCATAATCTTCGAAATGAAGGTGTTTTAGTACTACTGTACTCGAGCCACACATTAAAGTGCACAATATTAATGACATGCCAATGGTAGACTGCAAATTCCAAACACCCCATTTCATTTTTATAGTTTGGCCATTCTATTTTGTTTCTTTTCTCTTTGGTACTAACATGTGAAGAATTCAAGTACTTATTATATATCAAGAAAAACCTAATCTGCCTCCAATCAAAATATTAGAGCATTTTAACTTGTTATTTATTGAATATATTCTGTTGAGTTTTATTTTTTTACAAGATGCTTTTCCAAGTATGCTCTACACATGCTTTTGTAATGTATTTAGAGTGCAGTATAAGTTTGACGACAACCTTCCAAATAAAAGTGAGGAACTAATGCGCAAAAATAATTCTTAATTACGATTACCACTTGTGGCAGCAAGAGTCATAACTGACAGGGAGACAGGAAGATCCAGGGGGTTTGGATTTGTTACCTTCAACAGCGTGGAGGATGCCAGTGCTGCAATTCAGGCTTTGGATGGACAGGTTATTTGTTTACTATTTTTTTAATATCTTGGTGCTCTTGGGCTATGTTAAGAATCCATAAAGTATAGGGAAATGCGTAAAGTACCAAGGAAAACATGTCTTTGATGTTTGGTTTTACTAGTTTACGAAGAGAAATTGAATTTGATCAAAACTTTTAAAATATTACATTTAAATTTAGATTTAGTCTCAATAGAATATAAATGTTTAGATAAAATAAGTTGGACCTATGTCTAAAACTGACTTATCGAGTATATTCAATTTAGTATTTCCCCTCCTTTTGTTTTCTTCCATAGTTGGTCTCCCCCCTCTATTTTCTATCTACAACACTTTCTGATTTTCAAACAAGACCCTAAGGCTATGTTCGATTGTTTGTGGCACAAAGGTGATAGAGAAAGGGAGATATAAAGGAAAATGTTTTTTTAGCTGTGTTACAAGAACCGGACTGGACCACGCGGTCTTACCTGGAAACCAGCCACCCGACTCCAAATCCGGTCTGGGAGAGAGCCAGCCCACTATTAAGCATATAACCTTAATTAACCGGTGGCTCGGCAGAAACCGGAACGAGCCCTAAATTTCTGAAACCCGAGAGTTTGAAGAAAACTGGTTAATAAGCATATTCTTTATTAAATAGTGTTCCAGCAGGGGAAGGATTCAAATCCTGGTCGTCTACGTGAACCCAACACCAACTCATTTACGTTGTCAATGCGCCCTATGTCTTCTTTAAGGATCCTTATATGCTACGTTATTAACACTTTTGGCCTCACAATGTTTCTTTTAAACAACCGTATTAATTACTAATTAATTTAGTCATAATAATAACTATTATTATGGCTATTTTTATACTAATAAACTATTGATGAAATATTCATAACAACTATCTAATTCATTTATTCTTAAAAATATTATTAAATTTTTAGTGACTAGTGAGCAATTCTTATCCATGCAACTTTAATCGAATATATAATTATATATATTCTTATATTTTATTTTTCAATAAACATTGACTGGGTTCACTCATTGTTGACCGGGTTGACCCTTGCCCTGGTCACTCGTTCGGCTCACCTCCCGTTCCGTTTTTTTTACAACATAGAGGTTTTAGTGCTTGGTTTTCCTTGGAAATATGAAAGGAAAACAATGATTCGCCCCTTCAGGTTAGGTCATAATTATTAAGTCAATCTTGTATTTTTAGAACCGACCTCCCCTAAGTTTTATTATAGTTGGATCCTCCCATTAATTATAGAGAAAAGGGGCAAATAAGCCCACGTACTAACAAAAAAAGGTCAAAAAACCCCTTATATATGAGGCTCTGTCCGGCCGTCGCCATTTGGGGCGGTTCCCGGTGGAAGGTTTTGATGAAATTTTTTGAGCATCTTATTCATTAAGTCTAGTTTACTCATACCAAGTTTCAGCTAACAATTCAATTGGGAAGGCATTCAAAGGAATTCTTGAAGGTATGAGTAAACTAGACTTAATGAATAAGATGTTCAAAAAATTTCATCAAAAAATTCCACCGGGAACCGCCCCAAATGGCGACGGCCGGACAGAGCCTCCTATATAAGTGCTTATTTGACCTTTTTTGGTTAGTACGTGGGCTTATTTGCCCCTTTTCTCTTAGAATCAAGTTGTTTGACTGTTAATTGTGAAAGGATTTTCGAAAATGTCCTCTATTAAACTGAACTATAAAACAATACTACTTCCGTCCCATTTTATGTATCTTAGTTTGACTTGACACGATTATTAATGAAGTGGTTGAAAAAGTAAAAGTTGTGGTTGAGGTTTGAGTATAATAAAGTGAAATGGTGTAGACCACATATTTCTTTCCAAAAAAGGAAATGAGGCACTTATTTTGGGACAACCCAAAAAGGAAAGTAGGATGGGTAAAATGGGACGGAGGGAGTAATTTACTAGGCTCATTCCATCAGCATTTGAACAATTTTGGGCACGATACTTCCTCGTGGGAGATTTTGATATGACTCATAAATACTTCCTGTTTTCCCCTCTAAATGAATTCATCTAAAGGACAGAAGCACTTTGTTTGTGTTCACATTTTTCAATTTTTGAAAATACGTTATACAGCCTCACAAAAAATTAATGTATAATTTTAATAATTACCTGGAGTACTGGACCTATAGAGCTTGTGCCTATAGATTAAAGATTACTAGTTTGCTTCATTTCCCATATGGCCATACTTCTGCATCCTGAAAAATACACAAAGGAACTTTGTATTTTGTCTCTTCCTAGTATAAGAACTAGGGCTGAAATATCACTAAAGTTTTATGCATTGTGTTGTACAAATTGGTATTTGTTTATCACTGAAACCTGTGCCAGAAGGCCTCAGAGCTCAATCTGTTGGAACTTTCACATTTATCCTAAAAATTGATACTTTTGGACATAAAGTATTCCTTGTGTAATCACCGCAGTCAATACGGTTTATATTTACGGACAAATTTAGTTACTAAATGTTCCTCAACATTTCACCGATCTATATTCTATACTGTGATTTCGGGAATCACACCGAAATGCATATTCTTCAAAATTGGTAACAAAATTTCCTTTAGCCGGTAGTTCAGTTGTTGTGCATCGGCTACTAAATAGACAGTGCATGCTTTAATCTAAAAAGAATACACACACATATATCCAAAAAAGTAGTGCAGACACACTCATAGCTATATAGTTGGGGAAACTCTTCAAATAGTCTAACGTTGATTCCATCCTCCAACAATATGAGCTTAGCAAGTAAAAAAAACACACCCTAATATTCCCAGAATAGTACATTACCTACTTTGAAAATGGTCTACGCAAGATGTTACAGACTTAGCCCATACTTGGCCCATAGCAAGACCCTAAACCCAGATGTAGAACTCACTCTCAAAAGACTAGCCGATTAGGAAGAGGAGACACCTAGCTTATAAGTCACTGGTTATGCCCATACTTTATCATTGTGAGACCGTTACAATACCCCGCGCTTCGAAGAGCCAATGTCTTCGTTGGTCACGACCATGTTGGTCATGGTTGGCACCCCATGGCCCAAGCCAGAACTCCATAGGCCACCACTCTGAGTGCTGGGACTAGGAAGATGGGGATGTCCCTGATACAATTTGTTACGGAACTAGCCCGTACTAGGCCCATAACAAGGCCCTAAACCCAGGTGTAGAACTCACTCCCAAATGACTAGCCGATTAGGAGCAGGGACACCTAGCTTGTACTTGATCGGTGTGGGATCGTTACACAAGATTTACTAGGAAGCAAGGAAAAAGCATAACATACAAGCTGATCACAAGTTCACAACACCTCATGATTAGGAATATTACGGAGTCATCCACTATCTATATGCTTTAACTCATTCCAATAATTGAAAACGGATTCGGATTCCAATTTTTTTAAGAAAGATCAAATTGTATAAGAGTATCCAATGATTTAAAATATTGTAAAGTCCACAACAATGATATCATCCAAGCCTTAATCCAGTTCCATAAAAACTAAACATAAGGAAGCTGTGACTACAAAGTGCAGCTTAGCAAAAGTAGTCTTAGTAGTTCCGCAAAAACAGCTTAGCAATAGTAGCCCTACAAGTGCAGTCAACCAAAAGAAACCTTAAACCTAGCACAAACAAGGTTAATAAAAAACGGTCCAATTTACACCATCAAGTTTTGTAACGGTATGATGATCAATTCCTTGAATTCATAGTCCACCTCTTCGCCTTAGAATTGCCTTAACCCCTCTCCTAAATGTGTGACTAGAAGTGATGCCCGCATAGTGCATACCTTGGATTAAAAGTGACTAAATGTGTTGTTGGCATACTGCCTTCGGGTGCCTATAACAGAAACAATCAAGAATTAAGATATATATTGAATTTGTTTATGAATTCGTTATGTAAGTTAAGAATTATTTAATACTATTAAGTAGAAGTTGAAGGTGGTCGTTCACCCACTTCTTTTCTTCTATTAAGCCTAGGTCTCCAATGCCATCTTTTATGTGGTGGTGGCCTCAAATCTAAAGATGGATCCACTGCGTCAAAATCAAATTGAGCCATAGGATGCATTGCACTACTTTATACCATCACATACTTCTCAATTGAATAATATTCATCACACTAGTTTTCTATTTTTTCTGTCTCATATTCAATGCAAAGTGGACCGTGTTTACATGGCATTCTAGAGATATCCCACCATTTGCAACTACATTTTTTTGTTGTTGCTGACTTAACTGCAAATGTAGCTTTGCCTTCTTTCAATTCAAATTCACCATTTCTCCTTGGAATTAATCTACAGAATCTACTAACAGTGATGATTCTGTTAAAGAACTTTCCTAGCCTCAGATGATATTGAACCCTCCATTGAACATTGTCACGACTCACGAGTCTCCAGAATTTTCCAGAAAGCCCACGGCATTCCAGGCATTCCCGGTGGAGTCTAGAGCTTCCTAGATAGAGGGACGGAATTCTATAGCCTAAGAGAATATCCTAGACCCATGTACTTAAGTATAGAGATATGTATAAATCTAGACCATCCACTGAGGAGGAGGATGAGTATAAATACCCCTAAAGGTTGGTTCATTTGTACAATCAGACCTTTAAGAGCAATACTAACCTTTTATAAATACCCCTCAAGTTTTCTCTACATACAATCTTGCTTAGAGCTAATCTCTAGTCAAGTTCGGTGTCCTCGTTTCCGCAGAGTTAGGCTGACTAGCATAAGTTTGAGTGAATGTTGCTAGTGTAGGGGTCTTGAGAATTAGTTCGTGACAACATCCTTTACCATACTTCTTCTGTAAGCTAAACATGCATTTCTGCCTAAAAATATCAAAAATTTGAACAATAGGAAGACCCGTCAATTTGTCAAACCAACTATTAAATGATTCAGTCATGTTGTTTGTGACGTGTTCATTTTTTGAAAGTGGATTGAAAACATGCCTTGACCATGACTCCAAAGGCATCTCCATAAGGTAGTTGAAAGGCTTACCTTCATCAATCTTTTGCATCTCTTTCATAACTCTTCAGA